CGTCGACTACGTGGGAGTCCAGCGACATAGCCATTACGCTAACTGCTGGTTCCCGCCCCTGTCTCAGCTTTTGAAGAAGGTCTTGGGTGCTGTCACACACTGGTTGCTTGGTTGTGCTGCCTCAGCCCTGAGGGACCGCTTTCCAGGGCATGCTAATGTTTCAAGGGTGACGTTAGAAAAACATGTGTGGTTTAGCAGTGTATGACCACTCAAGTTGCACCCCACCCTCACAAACATTTGCTGCATAGTCAGTCTTTAATTTCAGCTGCTTTGTGGGTGTACAGATCCGTCATTATGTATGCACTTGCATTTCTCTCCTAGTTAATGAGGGTTGGGAACCCTTTCACATGTGTATTGGTTGGATGCATATCTCTTTTATGAAGTGCTTTTACAGGCCTTTTGTCCAAATCTTATTGGAAAGCTTGTGTTTTAAAAATTGATTTACAGTGGCTAGCCAGTGGTGTGGTAGTGAAGGTGACTGGATAGCATATGGCCTACTGCTTGGTTCCTGCCTCAGACCCAGCAGTTTAAAAAAACAGTTTGGGCACATGTGCGTGCATGCTCAAAAGTGCCAAAAGGAGAAGTGCAGAAAGAGGGATTGCTGCGTGATCATCCTCCATGGGGGCTGAGGGGTGCTTTTTCACTTTCATTCTCTGTCTCTCCCGCAATTGCACATGCCCTCTAGCAAATTTTTTAAAAATTGATTTCTCACTGTTGGTCTTTCTCTGTCTCTCTGATGAGCACACACACACCATATAGCAAAGGTCTCTAAAAAAAAACTGATTTACAGTTTACATATATTCTGGATTTTGCTCATGTTTTTTGGACACACATGTAAATATATGTGCATATATATAATTTTAGCTATCTTCTACAAATCAGTTTTGCTTTTCCACCTTCTTAATACTATTTTTTTTTTTATTTTTTTGAGAAGTTTTTGTTATAGGGCACATGCGCTTGCCAGAAAGACAGAGAGAGACAGAGAGACAGAAAGCAAAAAATCACCCCCCAGAGGGGATGGCCACACCACAATCCCTTCTCCTCCATTCTCCTCTCAGGATCTTGGGCACTCATGCACACGCGCCTGGCGTAGTTTAAGCCACTGGGTCCAGGACTTGAACTGCAGTTGACTACATGGGAGTCCAGCAGCATAGCCATTATACCAACTGCTGGTCCCAATAGTGTATTTTTGGTAAACAAATGCTCAATTCAGGTAACTCATATTAATCTGTTTTTATGATTGATATTTTCTTATCTTCTTTAAAACTCTATCTCTGAATTATCTCAGATACATTTTTGTGTAATGGAATGAAGTAATGAATTCAGTCAGGGGATATTTTTCTTTTCTACTTATCAAGTGGCCTTATTAAAAGGACTATGTTTTTACACTAATTTTCTGGTCTCAGTGTTATACATGTAGCTTCTGAGTATTTTCAGATTTGTTTACAGAATCTCTGTCCTCTTCCATTGGTCTGTTTGCTCCTGCTAGCTCTAGTCCCACAGTGTTTATAGCTTTATAGTGAATCTCATACCTGCTTATGTGTATTTAAAACTTGGTTCTTAAAGATAATCTTGACTTTTTGTTTCCTTTTAATTTCCATATACTTTTTATTATCAGCTTGTCAATTTTTACTAAAATTTAACTTGGGATTTGTGTGTGTGTGTGTGTGTGTCTGTGTATGTGTGTGTGTGTATGCTTGCCAGAAAGAGACACAGAGAAACAGAGAGAGGGAAAGTGAGTAGTTACCCTTTACGGATAATGGCCCTGCTGCAGTCCCTTCTCCTCCATTCTCTTCTCGGGATTTTGGGCATGCATGCACACACGCCCAGCATGAGTTTTAAGCCACCAGGTCTGGAACTTGAACTACAGTCGACTACGTGGGAGACCAGCAACGTAACCATTACACTATCTGCTGGTCCCTAAAATAATTGTTTTTAAAAACTCATCTTCTATAGCATGATATCTCATCTTTAGCTACCACCAACATTGAATAATGTCCATCTACATAGCTGTTAGGGTGACATATTTGAATCTCTGTAAGATTGGAAGCAGGTGTATTAAATGTTTCAAATTACTCTAACCTTCACTATGTACATACAGCATTCTATAATGTGTCTATTAATGTTTCTTAATGATGAATTTAATAAAATAAGGACAAGAAAAGGAATTATATTTCCTAACAAGGATTGATAAGTATAAAAATGGTTTATACTGCTTTGAAGAGATAATTGTATGTTTATTTAATTTTGATTGGTGAGGTTCACTCATTCTGCAAGCAATCTGATTAATCATGTACCATGTCTGCCTTACAATATAATACCTTGTATGTTACCTTCTTTTTAAATTTTGGCTGGATTAAAATTTAGTTGCTTTTCCTGAAAACAGAATGTTTGTTGGGACATTATCAACATTGGCCCATGTTTTAAACTCCATATTAATAATGCACATGCATTCGTGCATGTGTGTGTGTGTGTGTGTGTGTGTGTGTGTGAGATCTGTTTGCAATCTGCAATTTTTTGATGATTGGATGCTGTCATTAATGAAATATGTTCATTTATTTTTTTCAGGAGATGATGTCTGATGAAGAAGATGAGTTTTCCATGGGACCTGCAACCAAAAAAATTTGTCTTGAAGAATCCAAGAGTACTGGATCATTTATGAGCGGGCAAAGTATGGCCCTACCATCAGCGAAACAGGAAGAAGAGGGAGAATCCCATCTTGGGGACCTAGCCATGCCAGAGGCAGAAGGTAATTAGATCTTTGGTGGATGAGCAGATATCAGCATGTTTGCAAGTAGAAGGGACCACCTCTACCGTGATGAAACTGTTGGGAGTAGCTACAAGAGTTAGAAGTGCAGAAGTGGTTCCTGAGAAGTAGGATAGGATGGGCTGTAGTACAGGATGGAGCTGTAGTCACCTCTCACCTGTTCATGTTGCACTTTCTGCCTGTTCTCACCTCTTCCTGCTGTAATCCAGTATCGTCGGCCCCCTGTCTCCTCCTTTCCACTGAAATGGTTCACATAAAGCACAAGATCAACTGACATTGCCATCCGTTTCTCAGCAGCATTTGACACAGTTGTTCACTCCCTCTTTTATGGAATCATTCTTAGATTTCTGTTTTTCACGGTCTTCTTATTTCTTCTTCTTGATGAATCTCTGTTATTCTTTTCCTCCTCTATTTTCTTCTCTTTACATATTGTAAGAATTTTTGAATGCCACCATTTCTCTCCCCTCCTCTAGTCTACGGCTACCATGTTCTCTCACCAAATTAATACAACAAATTCTTATCTTATCTCCATGTTTCTCACTCTTGATCTCTTCTAAACCATACTCCTTAACCCTGCATCATGTCAATGCATAAGTTAGAGCATGCCTACCCTCTATCACCTCTACCTTAAACCCTTCATCAACCCTTGCGAGCACTCTGAACCTGTGCTCCTGACTAAGGTCTACAAGGCCTGCCATCCTCTCCTAACACGTGTCCTGTGGGTCTCCTCCTCACTCTCTCCAGTTCCTTCCTTCACTCCGTGATACCTGGCTTATCCCCTCTCCAGCCCCTGCCCTGGCCCTCACCACAGCCTGGAGCACCTCCTCTGCGCCCACACAGGCAGCTCCGTCTTCTCATTGGGGCTCTGCCCAGAGGACACCTCCCAGAAGGCTCTGCCCAACCCCTGCCCTGCTGGCCCTGCCCCGCTGGCTCCCTCTGCTGTGCCCTCTGCCCTTCCTGCTGCCTCCTCCCCGGACACGCATCCACTGGAAACGCATCCACCGTGAGGGTTCCCTGGCTCACTGCACTTACTGCCTGACTTCTCAGGGGAATGCCAGTCCCACAAGGGCAGGGGAAGTGTCTGTCTGCCTTGTTCAACTTGTTCACTGCTCATCCCAGCTCCTGATAGGTGCCTGGTACAGAGGATGAATACATTAAATAGAGGTGCCAGACTTAGCATAACTTTTCTGAGACAGAAAAGACAGATAAGGAGGATCCTGTTCTGGCAGGGATTTTTGGTGATGGAGTGCATTTAGAGCTCTCAACCCTAAGAGCTGCCTCTATTTTTGGAGAAAATTTGAAGTAGAGAGGTTGAAGTCAACTCAAGTTGTCTAGCTTCAAAATCAGTAGCAATACAGGACAGTTTATATACAAATTTCAAAAATGATGACATTATGTAAGACTTTCAGCTTTTCAACTTGTAAAGAGAATCAAGGTGACATTACATCATAAATACCAGAAATCTGAATGTTCTAGTCATACTGTCTTAGTAGATTTCCATTTGTATTCATAGAGCCAGAGCTAAGAGAGAGTTTTATTGCATTATGTGTCCTGACCTCGATTTGAGGAGTCTCAGATCTTCATCTGGTACATCCTCCTGTCTTTTTGTTTTATTTTGTTTGTGTTTTTAAGAATTTTTTTAGCTTTTTAAATTGTCATTATTATTATTTTCTTTGCTATTGAGTGTGTGCACTTACCAGAGAGAGAGACAGAGAGAGAGTGAGAAAGTGAGAAAGTAAGCTGCCAGGTCTGGGACTCAAACTGCACTTGGCTATGTGGGAGTCCAGCCCTTTAACCAGCATATGCCATCTGCTGGCCTACATCTTCCTGTTTTTTAATTTGCATTTTTTTAAAATTTTTTATTTAATTTTATTTATTATTATTTTTTAATTTGATGAGACAAAGAGAAAATGAGAAAGCATGCTGCCAGGTCCAGGGCTTGAACTGAGATAAGCCATATGGGAGTTCAGCACCTCAACTACCACACCACCTGCTGGCCCCCCATATCGTCCTGTTTTATTAAATAAATAACTTCCTAGAAACTGCAGGGCACAGGGATGTACCTCTGGAGTTGACATAGAGTACCTCAGAGCTTAACTTTTTAATTTGGATTTCAGGTGCTACTGCCATGTATGATGTCTATAAGAAGATGATGGAAAATTTTCAAACCCCATCTGATACATTCTTGACCCAGTTTGGTCCACCAGAGCTTATGTATATGACAGGAGACAGAATTTCACCCAAGCAGTTGGATTCTTTGTCTGATGACTTCACCGGTCTCTGCAAAGATGGGCTGATGAACGAGCCTGATAATGCATTTGCTGGAGAAGTTGAAAATTTCACTGTCTCTGGAGATAATCCACAAGTCACAGAAAAGTTCACTCTGCCAAAAAGCTCAGGGGAAATTGATACTGATATTAAACATCAGTTAATGAAGGAAATTCGACAGTTTGGACGAAGTAAGTAGTATAAAAATGTCTATCGTGAAAATTACTCTAAGTCTCTTTCATTCTGTGGTTTACGATATATCTAATGACCTGTTGAGTCTTATGTTTTGTCAGAAATGGGTTTTCACAGGGGCCAGCAGGTGATATGGTGGATAAGGCACTGGACTATCACATGGCTGATCACAATTTGAGTCCCAAATCTGGTGACTCCCTTTCTCACTTTCCTTCTCTCTTTCTCTCTCTCCCTCTCTGGTTAGCACATGTGCCCTGTGGCAAATTAAAAAAAAAATGATGCTTAAAATTAAATAAATAATTATTTCTAAAAAATGGGTTCTCACGTAATTTTGGATGGTTCCTCTTTTGACTAAAATATCACTGTAAACCTTTCTTTTTTTTTTCTTACTTTGTTATTGTTCTTAAGTTTTATTAGTAGATGTGTGCAGGAATCTTGATTTAAACTTATAGAACATGTAAGCTAATATTCAATATTCTAGCCCATGAAGCGTGATTGCTGAGATATGGAGCCTCCATGATTTAATTCCATATCTCCTTCCTATTTAGGAAATGTTAAAGATTTTTTTCAATATTTTCAGAATATGAAAAGATCTTCAAATTGCTTGAAGGAGTAAAAGGACCTCTAGAAGTCAGGAGACAATATATTGAATTTACCATCAAGGAAGCAGCAAGGTAGGTGGCAAAAAGAACTGTCCAGTTTCTTAAAGCAGTGAGGCCTATGCAGTATTGGAGTGAGGGGTGAGGAATAGCCCTTGCCTTGGGTTTCTCAAACCCCAGCCCTCAGTCATAGTCACCCCAGAGAGTTAGGTTGAGGCTATCTGACTCTCACTTATTCTTCCAGACCTCCGGTGGAGACTCTCATTATCACCATAGTCTGAGGCAGGCTAGAATGTCTGTTACCATGCAGAAGCATTTTTCTTTATTCCCTTGTAGATTGTAAATTTCTCTCTAGGAATTCCGCCTGCCCTCCTGCCCTCCACCAGGTCATTTGGAGGTATGTTTTGATTAATGACTTGTCTCTTTATTTTCAGATTCAAAAGAAGAGACTTAATTATGCACCTTGAAAGATACTATGAAATAGTTGCTGACCAAGTTCTCAGCGAGAATAATCAGTAATTCTGTTACCATGATGAGTAATGAGAAAGGACCAGATGTCCATTTCTTTGGAAGGGGGAAAGATATTGCTGAAGCCTCCTAGCATATGTTAGTTAGAGTTGCCTTCTAGAAGCTAAGAAAAAGTAGTGTCAGTTTTTAATGTTATGAATCTCTGTTAGTAAAAGTAGAGCTTTTGCCTCAAGTCTTGTTTGTTGCTTTGTTTTCCCACCTGTACTGGTGGATGCTATTAACTCATCAGCTAAATACTATTAAAGTTCTGGTTTTTGCAACATATCACAAAATTGTAGCTTGTATTTTATAACTGCCTTCTTCACTATGCATGTCACTTGTCACAGCATGTCGTATTCCCTTTGCCCTGAAACAGCATCTTAGGTGGTCATGATGCTTGGCCTGGTGGGATGATTCAAACCTTCATTTACTGAAGTGTCTGAGCCTAAATTGGGTTGCTGTAATTTTCCATTAACTTTTTTTTTTTACTTTAGTCAGGGGTACATGTGCTTGAGAAAGAGAGAGAGAGAGAGAGAGAGAGAGAGAGAGAGAGAGAAAGTACCTTTCAGGGAGAATGGTCACACTGCAATTGCTTCTCCACCATCTGTACTTTCAAAATTTTGGGCATACATGCGCACATGCACAGTTTATCAAGCCGTTAGGTTTGGGACTCCAACTGCTCAATAGGCCATGTGGGATCCAGTTGCCTTAACCACCATGCCACCAGCTGGCCCATCCATTAAGTCTAATCACAAAATGTGAGAGTCCTAAGGGCTCTAGACATTCCATATGTGTTCCTCCTTAGCACCTGTGTAGTAGTAACCCATATACTTCCTTTGGTAGATTCTACACTCTAATCAGTAAAGAAATCCCCCTTCCTACCTGTTGATTGGATAGGGTGAACAATCCAAAGTGATGAGCTGACAACCTTAAATTCCATTTCAATGGAGTCATTTCTGGGTCTCCCACTGAAAACATTTTGTCATTGGAACAAAGACCTCTAGTCCAGCAGAGCCAAAAGTTGGGAACTGGAGAGCAAATCTTGCTGTTGCTATTGTGTATCTAAGAGTAATAGGGTGGGAGGAGGCCCTCACATTGCCGCCTTCATTGCTGGAGATGTGAACGTGTCCGTGCGAGAAACAACTCCAATGTAGTGAATGCCAAGGTAGAGTATTGCCACCTCCTAGATTATGCTGACCCAGCCCACAAGGTATTGTTAATAAGGCATAACTGAGGTTCCCAGAGATTATTCCGCTGTGTGATCGAGCTAGCCACCTCAGGATGGTGGAGAACATAAGACCAGTGAGATCCATTAGCATGAGCCCAGTGCTATATTTTATTTCCTCCAAGAAATTCCCATGTTTATAAGTGATGCACTGTAGAATACCATGATGGTGGAGCTGGCATTTTTTTTATGACACCAGATGTTGTTTTCCTTAAATTACTGTGGGTAGAAAAAAAGATCCAAACTCAATAATTGTGTTTGAGAAAGATGAACATGAGAAATCACCACCCACAGGGGACGGCCATACTGCAGTCCCTTCTCCCAGGATTTTGGGCATGCATGCACACTCGACCAGCATGTTTTCAAGCCACCAGGTCTGGTACTCAAACTTCAGAGTTGGCCATTTGGGATCTAGTGCCTTAACCACCATACCACCTACTGGCCTCTCTAATTAAGAGGATTATAACCTCTATCACTCTCCAAGATATGTGTGGTTCAGTACAGAGCAAATTGATATCTTGAAGGGATGGTGCAAGGATAAATAACCATCTTTCAAATCCTCATGATGCCATACATCAGAGCATTTCCTCTACGAATGAAGTGTTTTTTTTTTTCCCTTATGTAATTTTAGTTTCTTTCACTTGACATTTCTTACTATAATAGCCCTCACTCCATAGGCCAGCACATGGGAAGTCTGACATTTTACGAGAAGAATTATTCTCATGATAGATTCTGAACCTTGGGGAGTAATGGGAGGGTGGATTCAGGGACCATTCAAGGAGATGGAGCTGAGGTAAAGCCACACTGATTGCATAAACGTCTGTAAGTCCCTACTTTGACCCATGTATGACAGTGACGTTTTGGCTCTCTAGAAATTATTGTCAGTTGAGAGCCAGTATCAAATAATCTCTGGGAACTCTCATTATATAGTGTAGTGGTTAATTTCATATGTCCCTTTGACTGTATCGTGGGATGCCCAGATTAAATATTATTTTCAGTTGTGTCTCTGATGGCTCTAGACAAGAATAGCATTTGAGTTCATGGACTCAGAAAAGTAGATTCTCCCCCTCCCCCCCCAACATGGATGAGCATCACTGACCCATCAAGTGCCTGAGAGAACAGAAAATTGGGCAAGGGGTAACCAAAGCTTCTTTGCTCCCTGCCTGCCTGGTTGAGTTGGGAAAATGGTGTTCTCCTGCCCTTGGACTACGGTTTACATCATCAGCTTCCATGGATCTCAGGCTTTCAGACTCAGACTGAATTACGCCACAATCTTCCCTGAAGCTCCAGCTAGCAGACAGCAGATTGTATGACTTCGCAGCCTGCATAATCAGGTGAGCTAATTATTCCTTATACTAATATTCTTTACACACACATACAAAGGGACTTTATATATACGTGTGTGTGTGTGTGTGTGTGTTATGGATATGGATTTGTCACAGGGGAGTGGCCTTACGTAATGGTAGAGGCTTGGTAAGCAGTCCCTGTATGACTGTTGTCTTCTCATCTCATGCTGGAGCAGGACAGCCATCCAAGAAGAAAAGATGAGCAGGTCCCACCCCATAGACATGAACTGGAACTGGAACCCCCAGGAAGACTCCTGTCCTTCCTTCTCTTTTGCTCTAATCTCTGGGGAAAAAGATATTCTGCAGTACCAGGGCCTTTCAGAGAACAAAGGGCCCAAGGCCTTTCACTGCTTTCTGGGGTTTACTGGCTCCTCAGAGAGGCCTTCCCTGTCTACTGACCACTCATCGGTTGTTGCACCATTCACTCATTTCCCATCTCTCACTTGATTTCAACTTTTCTTCAGTGCGCTTACATTATTTTGCTTGTGTATCTTCATCCCCCAGTTCGAATGTAAGATTCATGAGAACAGCACGCACTCAGAGGGTTTTCAGTAGATATGGAATGAATGAATTAGTTTTTAATCTTCACAACAAACCTAGGAGGTAGATGGTGTCATGACCTACAGAAGAGGATATGGAAACACAAAGGGGTTAGGTAATGCCCCAGGTCATAGACAGCTAAGGGCATACCTAGAGCAACACCTCAAAGTCAGGTCTGTCTTGAATCCAAAGTAATTTCCATTCTTCCTCATCAGACTTTGCAGTTCCATGTTCCTCCTGATCCATTATCTCTCATTGTACTCATCATGTAATCCTGGTTCCAGAACATTCTCTACTCACTTGCCCTCCCTGACAGCATCTCCCAGGAGAGGGAGGGCCTAGCTCTCATCTATGTCTACCTCTAACTTGGCTCACACACACAAATATATATAGCTTTTGTTTTTACTTAAATTAATTTTCTTTCTTATTTATTTAATTAATTTGCTGTAGGGCATGTGTGACTGCTAGAGAGAGACAGAGTGAGAAACAGGGAAAGTGAGAAAGCACCTCCCAGGGAGGATGGCCATACCACAATCCCCTCTCCTTCACTCTTGCCCTGGGACCCTGTACACACATGCACACGTGACTGGTGTGCACCTCAAGCCACCAATTCTGGGACTCGAATCATACAATTGTTTATGCAAGATCCAGCTGCCTCCACCACACCACCAGCTGGCCCTACTTAAAAAGTTTTATTGTAATTTCTGATTTACATATAATCATTTTACATCTTTGTGAGGTATAGTATGATTTTTCAAAACATGTATACAGTGTGCAATAATCAAATCAAGGATATAAGCACATTCAACCATCCCCAATAGTCAATACCACATTTTGTTATGCACACTAGAAAATCATTCTACGTGGGGGCCAGCAGATGGCACAGTGGTTATGTCACTGGACTTCCACATTGCCAACCATGCAGTTTGATTCTTGGACCTATGGCTTAAACTCACGTAAGGCATGTGTGTGTGCATGCCCAAGATCCCAGGAGGAAAATAGAGAAGAGATTGTCGCATAGCCACCTCCCCTGGGGAGTGATTTCTCACTCTCTCCTCTCTTGGCAGTGAGAACATGTGCCCTAAGGCAAAAACTTCTCAAAAAAATAAAAAGAAAGAAAAGTAAAATAATTCTTGGGACCAGCACTTAGAGTAATGGCTATGTCGCTGGATTCCCACGTAGTCGACAACGGTTCAAGTCCCGGACCAGGTGGCTTAAACTCACGCTGGGCGCGGGTGTGTGCGTGCCCAAGATCCCGAGAGAAGAATGGAGGAGAAGGGATTGTGGCGTGGCCATCCCCCCTGGGGGGTGATTTCTTGCTTTCTGTCCCTCTGTCTCTCTCTCTGTCTGGCGAATGCACGTGCCCTATGGCAAAAACCTCTCTTAAAAAAAAAAAAAAAGGAAAGAAAGAAAATAATTATTCTGTTTATTTATTTATTTATTTATTTTTATTAAAAACACATGACATTGCTCTTTCCATCATTCTGTGCCACCATCATGGTGAACATGAATATCCTGGCCGATTCTCTCAAGAGCATCAGTAATTGTGAAAAGTGAAGTAAACACCGGGTTCTTATTAGGTTATGCTCCAAAGTCATTGCCCAGTTTTTAACTGTGCTGATGAAGCATGGTTACATTGGTGAACTTGAAATCATTTACGACCACGTAGTTGGAAAAATTGTAAACCTCACTGGCAGGGTAAA